TCGCCAGCATTTGTTGCTTGCTGTTCTGTTAAATTTTGCTATTCTGACTGGGGTGAGATGATATCTCATAGTTGTTTTGATTTGCATCTCTCTTAGAGTTAGGGATTTTGAACATTTCTTCATGTGCTTGTTAGCCATCTGAATGTCTTCATTCAAAACTGGATAGAACAGTGCATAGAAATAAGGAACTCCAGAAGATCAAGCAGGATTTAGAAGAGGCCATGTCACCTGGGATATCATTGCTGATATCAGATGGGTCCTGGCTGAAAGTAAGGAATACAAGAAGAATGTCTATTGGTGGTTTATTGAGTCTGCAAAGGTATTTGATTGTGTGGATAATGATGATAAGTTCTGGTTAACATTGAGAAGAATGGCAATCCCAGAGCACTTGATTGTGCTCGTGCAGAACCTATACCTGGATCAGGAGGCTGTTGTGAAAGGAGCAGGGGAGCACTGCATGATTTTGAATTGGGAAGGGAGTGTGTCAGGGTTGTATTCTCTCTCCATACCTATTCAATCTGTATACTAAGCAAATTATTTGAGAAGTTGGACTCTATGAGGAGGAGTGTGGCATCAAGATTGGAGGGAGACTGATTAATAACTTGCATTATGCAGATGACACAAATTTGCTTGCTGAAAGTAAGGACGACTTAAAGCACTTCTTGCTGCAGAAGATCAAGGAATGCAGCCTTCACTATGGATTGCATCTTAATGTCAGGAAAATGAAGATTCTTACCACTTAACCGACAGGCAGCGTCATGATGGATGGAGAGGAGATTGAAATTGTCAACAGCTTCATCTTGCTTGGATCCACCATTAACACTTGGTACAAACAGTCAGGAAATAAGGAGACACATTGTACTGGGAAAATCTGCAGTTAGAGATCTTTCCAAACTATTGAGGATAAATAGTGATGTCTTGAGGACTACGGTGCACCTGGTTCAGGGCATAGTCTTTCAGATTACTAGCTATGCATCCTAGACCTGGACAATGAATAAGGATGACAGAAAAAGAATTGAAGCCGTTGAGCTGTGGTGTTGGAGAAAAGCACTGAACATCCCTTAGATGGCCAGGAGAACAAACAGTTCTCTTGGAGAGGGTCCAGCTGAAGTGCTCTTTGGAGGCAAGAATGATGAAGTTTCGCCTCACATACATTGGACATGTTGCTAGCTGGGACTATTCCTTGGAGAAGGACATGATGTTGGGAAGGGTGGATGGCTGGAGAAGGAGAGGAAGGCCCTCAACCAGGTGGATTGACATGGTGACTGCTGCAATGGGCTCTTGTGTGTCAGGAAGTGTGAGGATGAAACAAGGTAAAACAGGACTCAGTATTTTTGTTCATAGGGTCACTATGAGTCGTGCTTGACTTGAGAGCACCTAACAACAATGTATTACCTCTGTGTGTGTGTGTGTGTGTGTGTGTGTGTGTGTGTTTACATTTGACTCTTAAATCCAATGTGAATTGATTTGGTATGTGAATTATATTATTTTTTTCCCCAACAATAAAAAAGATGAGGCTATCAATTGCTTCAGACACGGTAGTAGATAATGAATAATTCCCTGGATAATGTGTATCTCAATTTTATAATATTTTAAAATTTATAGACCTTTGAATCTCATTTTGGACTACTTACCTTTTCTTTGATTTCTCTGTGTTGTGATCTCTGTCAGGGAATATCTTATCACTCTTCTTTTTTTTTATATTTTAAAATTATCTTTATTTCAGATCTGCCTTTATG